CTGCCGCTAGGGAGGTTTCCGGATGCTCGGCGCAGCTTCCTCGCTCGGGGACTATGTTGCCCGGACTGCCTGCGAGGTCGCGTGTCCAGACGGTTGAAGGCCTTCCTTTTTGATGCCGGTGGGTTTTGTCTTTGAGCAGCCGGAGGCTGCGGGTGCACCAGCAGAGGGCGGTTTCGAGGACACAAGCCCTTCGCCGCAGGGCTTGCAACGACCCCCCATCCGCCCAAGCCCAAGCATGTTAGGCTCTTGATTCATGCCCCTATCCCGCTGTGAAGCCCAGATCCTGGCCCTAGTCTCCAAGTTGCATGCCAGGCCTAAGCTTATGCTCGCGAGGCTTGGGCCTGCTCATGCCAGAGCTCCGGCAGGGCTCGTACGCCGTCCTACACTTCGCTCCCCTCACAGCTACCTCGTGTGACTCATGTGGTCAGAACCTCCAGAAAGTCATGCAGCAATCTAGCAACCCTTGCGACCAGCATGTACTCTCCCCGTAATCTCGAGGATTGATTCAGTGACGAAGCTGCGCCCCAAGGAACACGAAGACTGCGGACAGATTGGGTGAGTCAGCAATAATCGCACGACCTTGCAGTCAAGCCGAGTGTTCTCTTGCTAGTACCGCTGCGGAATGCGAGAGGGATCAACAATTTTTTGCCAGACAGTCGAAGCGAAGGCGCAGTCATGCGCAGTCTTCGCTGAGAGCTTTCCGCAGTGATCCAAAGCCAGCTCTCAGCGACTGAACCGTGGGCTCCCGGCAGCCGAGCACACAGGTTGGATGAGCAACCACCCCGCAGTGAAAAAGACCCACTCCAGTGTGATTTGTCTGGTCCAACTTGCAATTGAGCGACATGTAGCAACAGTGAGTATACTTGAGCCTACTTGGCCCGCCCTTCTACGCACCCTGGCAGACCCTTTGAAAAGCGCTCACTTGGAGGCTGCCGTCCCGATGAGATCCATTGTCGCTCACAGCGCTCATCGTTTACAAGATTGCGTGCCGTTTACAGAGCCCTGCGGCCGGACTTGAGGCATATTCCCCGCGGAGGTGCTTAGGTCCGGGACCCTGCTTTAGCCGAGACTGTGCCGAAAGCAGTGCCCGATCCAGTGCCGCAGAAAAGACACCACGGCTTCAGTGACAGCATGCCACCAGCGCTGCCGCTAGGGAGGTTTCCGGATGCTCGGCGCAGCTTCCTCGCTCGGGGACTATGTTGCCCGGACTGCCTGCGAGGTCGCGTGTCCAGACGGTTGAAGGCCTTCCTTTTTGATGCCGGTGGGTTTTGTCTTTGAGCAGCCGGAGGCTGCGGGTGCACCAGCAGAGGGCGGTTTCGTCGCAGGGCTTGCAACGAGCCCAAGCGGTTTGGGCTCTTTATCACTGCTGTGAAGCCCAGGGCCTGGGCCTAGGCCCCAAGTTACGGCTTGCGTGTCAGTATTCTTTTCCTTGGTCCAGAAGCTTGGGACTACTCCTGGAGCTGGTTTCGCGGATCCAATCTTTGCATGCCAGGCCTAAGCTTATGCCCGCGAGGCTTGGGCCTGCTCATGCCAGAGCTCCGGCAGGGCTCGTACGCCGTCCTACACTTCGCTCCCCTCACAGCTACCTCGTGTGACTCATGCGGCCAGAACCTCCAGAAAGTCATGCAGCAATCTAGCAACCCTTGCGACCAGCATGTACTCCCCGTAATCTCGAGGATTGATTCAGTGACGAAGCTGCACCCCAAGGAACACGAAGACTGCGGACNNTTGGGTGAGTCAGCAATAATCGCACGACCTTGCAGTCAAGCCGAGTGTTCTCTTGCTAGTACCGCTGCGGAATGCGAGAGGGATCAACAATTTTTTGCCAGACAGTCGAAGCGAAGGCGCAGTTATGCGCAGTCTTCGCTGAGAGCTTTCCGCAGTGATCCAAAGCCAGCTCTCAGCGACTGAACTAAACCGTGGGCTGATTGGGATAGTTCGTCTTGGTTAGATTTTGCTTTGCGAGCCAAGTCAACGCTGCTTCAGTCAATAGTGTAAGAAACCTTTTCTACCAAGCAAACCTCGCTTGTGAGCGCATTGGCCTCAGCCATGCGAGAGGGACAGAAAACCGTGGTCTCCCAGCAGCCGAGCACACGGGTTGGATGAGCAACCACCCCGCAGTGAAGGCGATCCACTCCAGTGTGATTTGCCTGGTCCAACTTGCAAGTGAGCGACATGTATAGCAACAGTGAGTATACTCGAGCCTGCACCCTCCCACACACCCCAGGCCCTATGAAAAGCGCTCATCTGGAGTCATTCCTTCCTGTCGATTCCATGCTGTTTTGTCCCTTGCCCGAGTTCTCCGAAACTTGTCTTTTTGGCTTCTTCTGGGACTTCACGCTTCGTTTTCTTCTCGATTGACACGAGTATCCAGGTCTGTATTTCCAGCCAGTATCTAGCATTTCTCAGGTGCTCTGAAGCGTTCCACCGTGCCGAAAGGTCGTCGCATCACGGCTCTAAGCCCAAAACTGGCTTCCTAAGGCCCCATCCTAAAGAAGTTAGAGTCACACTGGAACTCACATCTTAAGAATGTGTCCTGAGTACCTTGATCATTCAATCCTTGAGGTGCATACGGAGTGCTTTCAATGATGCTGCCATATACTGCCTTTGGTGTTCCAGTCAACGAGTAGCTAAAACATGAGCTTTCAACTCTTCAGACCATCCAACCCTACAAAGCGGACTCGTCATTGCGAAGTAGGCAGCAAAAAAGCCTGATGCAGGCGAGGCTCGCACTAGTAGCTTGCGACTGTGCGCTGGCGCGCAGCTGCCAGGTTCTCTGACCCACGCCAGATTCTGGCCAACAGACGGCCTGTGGTTGCGAGTTAAAGGCTTGTAAGGTGTGGGATCATACGTATATATGCCCTCGACATGCCTAGCTACAGCTCCAGCATTTCTTGAAAATCAGCAGCGGTATGTTCGCTGACGGGTTTGAGTCGGGGCTCGGCGGATGCAGCTGCAGGGAACCCCTCGTGGCCTTAGTGCGATCTTCCGCAGCAGCTCCAGATGCCGCAATGCTTATGGCCGATTTTGGCAACATTGACGTGACGGACCAGATCCCGGTCCCTTGCTACTACTGCAGCGGAGTGCAACAGGATAGGCTGTGAAAGCAACTGCATCAAGCGCTTGCTCTGACTTGCTCTGAAGCCGCAGCCTTCCACAACACGTGGCTCTCAACAATCTGCCTAAACTGTGGGCTCGCAGCTGCCGGGTGCTTTCTGGCAGTTCTCTTTTCAAGCTCGGCAGGAGGCGGATGCATGGCCAAACTGGACGGTGCCTTATTGCCATCTGCACAGGCGGCAGACGCCTGAGATTGCGACTACTGTCCCGGCATGGGAAGCTATGCATCAACGCCAAACCGCCGAGACTCTGGCAGATTCAAGTGTTTTCCTGACAGTGCACACAATTAAGAACACCCCGGTACGCGTGACACAAGTCGTGAAAGCTGAACAGTGCTTCACGCAGCCTCCCAGTCGGCAATACTGCTGGGATGTGCCTTGCTTAACGTTGAAATCGGCTTTCATGTCCCGCGAGGGAGAAAGAGGCGGATGATCGCTCGATTCTTGCGGGAGTCTTGACCATCTACTATAGTGTATTTGCAGTTGCAAGTGTTGTTTTTTCAGTCCTTGTTATGTTTGAGATCCGGTGTTTGGTGACTTTTTCTCATTCTTCACAGCTTTAGCTGACATGAAGAGTCGCCTCACTAGCATTCTGCGATGAGTGTACCTCTGAACTACGTGCATTCAACAAACAGAAAAGGTCTTAGGCTAGGTCAAGAGCTTCGTAGTACGTCTTTGCGGAGCTGCCGGGCTGGGTGGCCAGACACCGCGCGAAAGCTCGAGCTCATGGGCGAGGCTCTGCAGAAGATCATCGTCGCTGGCGACACGGGCAGAGGACAGCCCTTCAACTTCCGACTGGATCCGGAGGCCTGGACTATCGTCCTGAAGTCAGGCGCCACTCCTCTGCAGGAATGTTGAGACTCCGAAGCTTGCGCAGCTGTTCGTCTTGATTACTGCCTTAAGCCTCAAGGTCCCAATCCACATGGTCGGCACACGCTGCCGACCGGAGGCGGCGTAGCTGGACAAGGCACTGGGCCTCGAAGCTTGCCAGCCCTCAGCGCGGCTGGAGATGCTCAGAGCCATCATGGAGCAGCATCCCCTCAGTCTTGTGCCTCGGCTTCAGGATTTAATGGCTTGCGTGGGTTTAACCGAGTTTCCATGAGGCAGTGCCATGCTCCCGTGTTTTGAACGCTTTTCTCGTTGCGCCCAGGTCCAAGACCCGGTGACTGCTGCCTACAGCCTGATGCCAAACATCTTCCGCATGGCACCAGCCGAAGTGACCTCCCCAGCAAGAAGCAACAATGTCTCAAGGAGGGCTCCCCCTGCTGTAGTCCGTGCTCTGGGGAGGTACTATGACCATGATAGTAACTCGAATCACCGTTCCATAGTCATGGCAATTCTTCCTGGTGAACCCACTGAAGGTAGCACTTTCTGGTGCGGAGTCTTACGCCACCACAGAGGCCCAGGAGCTGGTGTGTACCTCCACGTGCGTTTCTGCCTAAGTGGCCGCTCATGGCTGCTCGATGTAAACCCTAGGCCCTGCCTGAATCCTAAATTCTACAGCAGCATGTTCGTGAGGAGTTGGAGGTTGCAGGCTACGCAAAGCTGATCCTGTCGTCCATCTGAGCAATTCAGAGAGTCTCATCCGCCGACAGAGCCAACAGAAGGCAATGCCCCTGCTGCTGCTCATGTCTTGGAGACCTCCGCAACAGCGGGCCCTTTCCCTAGAAGACGGGATGGCAATAAGTCGGGTGGTGACCTTTTGAACCAGCCGCCAACAAGCAATTCCTTACTCTCTGGCTGCTTCTCCTTATAGAGTTTCGACGCTGTGACCCTCAACCCCCGACTCGAAACCCTGTAGACCTCAACACTCTGTGTCTGGGATTTCTGCATGACCCCAACGCGTGACCTCTCCGCCTGCCGCATCTCAAGCCTCAATCGACCATGGGAAATGTGAATGTGAAGTTGACCGTGGCCGGGGATGTGTTGCGTAACGTCCTAACCGGCCACTACGAGAAAGGTGTGGCCACCTCCCCAGAGAGGACAGCCCAACGCAGGAAGAATTGCCTTGATGCCATCCATCAAGTCCTTCATACTGTCGTGGGTCCCGGAGATCTCTTGAGTTCAGACCTGCGACACGACGTGGCGGCGGAAGCCTATGCTGCCTGGGGCTCTTGCCAGGGCTGCTTCAAGGCCAAGGCCGCCATGGAGCCGCCACCAGGAGCCAACTTTGCCGAGTACAACCGAGAGATAGACCATGACTTTACCACCCAAAGCCCCTTCAGGGACTTGGTGCATGGTTTGGTGAATCGTCAAAACAAGCTCAGTGAGGAGTTCTTTCAGGCCATGCTGCAACGGCTCAAGGACGTCACAGATGAGGTGCAGGAGGAGGATGTTCAGGCGATGGCTGTAGAGCTCACCACCGTGGTGGCACTTTGTGTGGGCGTGAGAGCCTTTTGCAGTGCCTACGGCGTGAAAGCCCCGGCACTTCCTCAAAAGATGGAGCCCTGCAAGCCCGGCCGATTTCAGCACGTCTCGGATTACTCCAACGGCCAGTTGCAGATAGAGAAGTCCATGGGTTGGGGACCCTATCTCCCCAGCCAGCAACTTCGCCCGGAGGCCCTAGAACGCTTTGGCTTGGAGAGATCGGAGTTGAGCTTCGGAGACAATCCCCGCATTCCCACCTCCAAGGCCTCCGCAGCGCCTTTGACCTACTGGGAGTTCTTGAAATTCCGAGATGTGATGTATGTGCCCACCGCGGACGTCACACGCTTCATGAAAGTGCCCGGCTTGGACCGCACCTTGAACCGTGGTCAATTGGAGGTGGCCGCGGCGGAGTACACCACCGCGAAGGCTTGCAACTTCTGATCTCAGTCGCACGCCAGCATGGCGCTGGTATCTGAAACTGGGCTTTTGGGTGGACACCATCCTCTGCATGATGAGATCAGTGCGTTGGCCGCTGCCGTGGCCTCGCCTGAGAAGCCTGGATGTGAATCTCAGGATCTGTTTTCTTCATTCTAAAGCTACATTTCGAGGTATGTGAACTTGAGTTCCCTTCTTCCAGCCTCATCCCCCTCACCCCACCCCTGCCAGGAGCCAGGAGCCCATTCGCTTGGCGCGCGAGGCGCTCCGCGAGAAGAGCCACGAACATGCGCTGCTGGACGTGGCGGGCATCATCGGCTTCTTCGCGACCATCACGATTGTGGTGGACTTCACGGGCCACAAATCCGAGGAGTTTGCTCAGCTGCTCACCAGGATGGCCAGTATCATTGATCTGGGCCGCAGGGTGAGAAGCAGAGTTTTGGGCTAGGCCGAGGGCCCAGCCGGAGATGGGCCAAAAAGGAAGGAAGAAATGCATGAATTGCACTCGAATCACTAGAGAAAGCTAAACCTGCCCTGACAGCTTGCCTCCGGGTTTTGGACCCATCCCCAGGGTGTGATTTTGTGTCAGTACAGAAGCGACATCAGTATAGTTCATGATGTCGTGGGGTGCTGTGAGACATCGTGAGCACGGGCGCTAAGAGATGACTTTGGTCACACGACTTTGCTGGTGAAGCACGCATAGTAGAACGCGCCAGATCTTCTGGCGTGTTTCTTGCATGTTGAAAGGCAAGGCAAGCGGAACTTGGCGCATTTCAGCTGCTTGGGCACTCCATTGGTCAAGTCAGTGGCTTTCCTGTTGTTTCCCGAAGTAGCCTTCACAGAAACTCCATCAGAAGCCCAAGCAGAGACTACGCCCCGCAGCTTGCAACATGTGTTCTCACGCTGGCACTTTTGGCAATTCGACACCCAAATCCATCCACCCGTTGTTCCGCGTCGCAGTTTTTGTCAGACGGTCACTTGCCCTGTGGAAAGGCCTGCCCTCAATATGGTGTGCAGACTGGCACAGGAAGGTTCTTGTACAGATATCAACGTGCTGTAAAGGTATAGGACAAGAGCGATGTTGGAAGACATGTGAGAGCGACTATGCGCGGGAAAAGGTTGGTCAGGTCGTTGTCATGCAATCTCTTGCTCCCCAAAGTGCTTTGAACTTCGGAGACTCCAGCGCATTCCAACTTCCGGGGCTACGCACATGAAGCCTGAGAAACGGGATGTGCAGTTCCTTACGGTCAAAACAGTGCCAGGCCAGGCGCTCTTTTGGTCCCGATAGGACAAGATGGGCAGAAAGTTTGGCTTGTGGATAAAATCTTGAAGTTTTCCTTTTCTGGGTCCCCAACCGCTAAATCCCTGTTTAGGGTTTAGGGTAGTTTAGGGTTTAGGGTCCAAGAGTTTGGCACTTACACCGAAGTGCTCGCAGCCTCGGCGACGTCCGATGGCGTGATTTTGATGGTGGATGTGGTGGAAGGCCTCACACAGCCTGCATCAAAGTTGTTCCCTAAACCCCTAAACCCTAACACCCCAAAAAAACACACACTATCCAAGATTGAAGGACCATGTCCCAGCTTAGCTCCGAGACAAATTGAACGCATGCTGAGGCATACGCTGCAATAATAAAGACTGAGGGTTGGAATGGGAATCGCCAGCTTTTTAGGAGAAAGGATGCTAAGACTGGAACAAAAAGACCAAGATTGACGTTCAATAGGGAAGTACAGGAAGCATTATCGTGTCGATGGGAAGAACATTGCTGTTTATTCCACTGGACGTCCAAGTCATGGACAAGTCGAGCCGCCATCGTAAAGTGAGCGACATCATCCAGGCCCAGGTGAGTTTGACCGACCTCCATACCATATCACTTCCATAATTCCTCAGAAGTTGGACTCATCGCATTCCCAATGCCTGACCACTGGCAAGCATTATTCCAGATGACCCGCACCACGCTATTGCCTGCTGAAGCTAAATTCCATCGACTCACCGCAGGTGGTTTTGGTGATCAAGGGCCTTGATCGCTTGATCATGGAGTTGAAGCTACCACCCACCGATTCCTACCACCAGCTTCTTGACAGAACACGTATAGGCGGTTGTAATATTGTAGTTGATATACCTGCGGATTCTTGGTCGATTTGATGCCTGACATCAGAAAGAACTGCGAGCGACAACACAGGGTGGAGTTGGCACCACTCGGTTTCGAGCTTTGAAAAGAGTTGATGCTCAGGTCAAATGTGTTCCGGCACTTTGCCGCGAGCAAAGCTACGTGTCAAGACCACTGGAGGTTCACAGTCGAAGAAGTAGAACAAAAACAGTTCCACAATGACCTGCTGCGTCCGAAGGCTCGCAGGGTGACCTTTTTGCAAGTTTGTGGGACCATCTGCTCTTGGCCAATGAAGCCGAGCAGGGAAACAAATTGGAGCTTTTCAAGCTCGACGACTTGCAGATGGGATGATCACCTGGGCCTAACAGCGAGCAGACGCGCTCTCTTAGCCTTCTGTAAGTGTACAACGTATGTTTGCTTTCGAGATCCTCGACTGGGGGCCCACTCTGCTCACTGTCGTTGGGACAAATTTAAACATCCTCCTGGGGGACAAGTCGAGGAGACCGGCGTGGCCAGTGAAAACCGTTGAGCTACAGTAGGACCTGACAATAAAGCAGTCAACCAAATGCAAAAGCACGCACGATCTGCACAGTCGCCATAAAGCCTAAACCCTAAGAAAGGGAAGGAAGATATCCCAAGTCTTCCTTGGAAGCTCGCCACACGTCTCAGGAGTATTGCGCGCCCTGGGAGGGGCCCTCTACTTCGGCGCTCGCTCTGTGGCCATGGCCCAGTTTTATCCCATTGGGAAGCTGGGAACGCCCTGGGGGCCCCTGGAGCGGCAGGAGTGGCTGGCGAAGCAGAGCATCCAGCGGCCACTGGGAATAGCCCTAGGCCCCAAAGCTCTGCCTAAACCCTGTCATGATTCTTCTTCTTCTTTGCTCAGAAGGGTTCTTGGGTTCAGGAGCCCTCTGTAAAGGCACGAAAAGAGACCTGGAAGAGCATTTAGGTCCTACCAGGAGGAGGTGCTCTCCAAGATCCAGAAGTTGGCAGGCGATTTCGAGGTGGTGCAGTATGGCGCCCTCTCCTACGACACAGAGAAGTACCCCCTCTTCGCCCTCAAGACGCCTGGCTTTGGTAAGACCGGAAAGCCCTTGGTTTTGGTCACTGGCGGGGTGCACGGCTATGAGACCAGCGGGGTACAAGGTGCGCTGAGGTTCCTTGAGACACGAGCCAAAGAGTATGCTGCGGACTTCGACATTATGGTGGCTCCCTGCGTCAGCCCTTGGGGGTATGAGACCGTCAACCGCTGGAACCCGAATGCTGTGGACCCCAACCGATCCTTCAAGAAGGACACAGACTCGGAAGAGGCTGCTGCTGTCCTGAAGCTGGTCTCCAGCATCGAGTTGCCAGTAGTGCTGCACATGGATCTCCATGAGCCTCGGCTCATGGGTCGAGGGTTTGGGTTTCCTCGAGCAGGGGCCGAAGTCATCGAAGCCACTTATGGCAGTTTTTTGTTTTTTTTCTTGACGGGTTTCTTTTTTTCGGATTTGTAGAGTCCTAACTATTCCTCAATACAAACTGAGGAAACCACTGACACCGACGAAAGCGAGTTTCGGGTTGCAAAAGCCGCGCGTGACGGCAAGGAGTCACACGAGCCAGACGTGGTGCCAGATGGCTTCTACACAGTGTCTCGGGGGTTTAGGGTTTAGGGGTTCGTTGTCTTTTTTCGGGCTTTGAGCCCTAAACCTTAGCTCTGAAACCCTACAGACCGTACACCAAACCCCTCAAGCCGAAAAAGACCCAAACCCCAAACCCGAAACCCGGACCCAGTGCCGAGGTGGGCGACACCGAGAACCCACAGGCAGAGTTTCAAGCTGCCATCATCGATGCCGTGCGAAAGGCACGGACTGCTTCCCTGCTTCCATGGGTTTAGGGTTTACGGGTTCAGGGTCTGGGGTTGAGGCTTTGGGGTTTGGGGTTTCGACACACACTCGCACAAGGCTGGCATGGCGTTCGACGGTTTGGGGTTTAGGGTTTGGGGTTTGGGGGTTTTAGGGTTTAGGATCCAGGTTTAGGAATCAGCTTGGATTGCACATGCTCAATCACAAGATCAGTCAGCGCATGGCCGCGGGGCCCTGGTCACCTAAACCCGACTCTCTCAAATTCCGGAGTCGACATGCCACACACGGAAGGTCTCTTGATCTTAGCCCGAAAAGTGAGAACCTAAGAACCCTCAGAAGCCTAAGAGCTTGCGACTAACAGCCCTAAGCCTACGTGTTACCCGTGTTTGCGGGTCGAGGTTTGAGGCCGGGTCTATGCCCCAAGCCCTACACCCTACACGCAAAGGACCCTAAAGCCCCAAGAACCTAAGCAATCGAGGATTTTCCCCAGAACACCACAGAGTCCCCTAGAAGAAGCTTCGGCATCTCCTTGAAGGGACCCCAGAGACCGAAGCATCTTTGGCGCCAAAAGGTCACCCACATCGCACCTCCCGACCCGAAGGGCCGCATCATCGGTGAGCCCATTTGCCAAGAAGGCGGCGTGCGGACCTGAACCCCCAAACCTAAACCCCGAAGACCCCCAAGCCTTAAACCCCCCTAAACCCCCAAACGTAACATCCCTAAACATCCGACCCTACACCCCAAAACCCCTAAACTCCCAAAGCCTGGCAGTTTGAGGAAGCAGGGGGTTTAGGATGGAGGGCTTACCAGGACAGGGTTTGGGGCTGTTGGGGGCTTTCCTAAAACCCCTAAACCCTATAGGGGTAATAGGGTAAACCGCAAAATCGTCGTTCACTTCGCTGCTTAAACCTCGTTCACTTAAGCCCCTAAACACTCATTCACTTCGCCCCCGAAGGCTTCAACCCCCGAACGCCCAACTCCAAAACCCTACACCGAAGGTGTCATCAACTACCCCATCAAGACCTTCCACGTTTGCAGCAGCATCATCACTGGGGCAAAGTTCGTGAGCACCACGGAGGTTTATCCCGACAGCCCAAAGGCACGGAAGGAACATATTGGGCTTCGGTCTAAGGCCTCAACCCTAAACCTCCCAAACCCTAAGCCTCCTAAACCCTAAGCCTCCTAAACCCTAAACCTCCAAAACCCTATATCCTAAACCCTAAACGCCCGACAGCCCAAAGGAAGCTAGCTGCGGGCCCTGGGTCTAAACAGACCACGCCCTAGGGCGCCCTAATCCGAAGAGACGCTCAACCAAGAAACTCCGGGGTTTAGACTTTAGACTTCTAGCTTTGGGTTTAGGGTTCAGGGTCCATAAACCCTAAGCTCTAACCCTAAAAAACCCAAAACCACGCAGTTCCAAGCCTGTTTACAACTTTCGGTTTGGGGTTTCGGGGGTTTAATGCCTCAGCTCATTCCGCCAACTGTTCAGACCTCCTTCCTTCGCAGGTCACGGACGCCTTGTGCAACGAAGCTCAGGTCGCAGCAGTGTCTGGTGCGCTGGAGTTTGTCAAGCAGAGCATCCGTGCCGAGACGGCCACAGCTCAGGCGTAGGGATCAATGGATCCAAAGTGAGGCCCGCAAAGAAAAGAGGGACAGTGAAAAGCAGGGAGCAGTCATTGGCATATCAGCTTTTGAGAATCCATATGAACGCTCTTGTTGCAGGCTCATCGTCCGGTTGTTATCGGCGGATTCAGTTAGGCATGCTCCCATTATACTGTAGCTGAGCTTCAGGTGTCCCTTACATGGTGGTGCCGAGTCCGGGACAACCTCTCTCAACTGTGCATGCTTGACAAGGTGAACACTGAAACAAAGACCCCAAGTTTTCGGAGACATACATATTGAAGCCTAAACCCTACCATATATATATATATATGTGTGTGTGTATGTATATATATATATATATTTGTGTGTGTTATACAGCTTCCGAGTAGGTCCCACGTGCGAAGCAACACTGCCAGCACAACGTCCAACATGTTCGGCTGCGTTGCAGGAGGATTCAGAAGGACTTAGAAGCTTCAGGCATGCTCTTTGGCTCTCTTTCTGTGGGGGATTTTGCGGTTGTTCATGTAGAGCACCTTTCTTTGGGCCCAAAGACACAATCAACCTGGCATGTTGAAGGCCGAGAAGAGTGAGCAACATCAAAAGGAGACCCGAAACTTTCTCGAGGAGCTGAGCTCAGCTGATTTTCTGATGCAGTACCTTATTCTCCCCAAGATTGGATTTGCTGCAAGGCATTAGGGGTCGGGTGGATGGGGGGTCACGTCAGCCCACTTCGGCTCGCAGGAAGTGTTGTTTCTTCCCGGCAAGAGTTTTTGCCCCAATGAGGGTGAAGACCAAGATATTTTGTTTGGGCCTTGTGCTGTTGTCATGGATGTTTGCCAGCGGTATGATTTCGTGCAAAGTGGAGGTCGCAAACGGCCCCGTTGCAATGTCACGCAAGCGAGCTTTGTCTGATGTGGTTGTCAAAGCTCGAGCCTTCGACATGTCCCTTTTCCGCAAAGCTGTTGGAAAGGTCGACGTCCAACCTTCGATGGAGACGGGTTTGCCCATTCAAGTTCCCTGGGAACACACCACAAAGGTGGTGATTAGTGTTTTATCTTTCTTCACCGCAGTTCTGCCGGTTGGCTACTTGATGTCGCAATCAATGGCATCCGCTCATAGTGACCACGGCTCAGCGGACTTGGAGGCGCTCCTTGCGCGCGATATTCCACAAATGTTCGATGGACAGGTGTAGAACGAGCAGGTCCATTGCCAACAAGATGCCTCTTCGGGTGTTGCAATGTCGCAGGCTTCGCCAACTGAAGAGTTACCTTATTCAAGTGACGCAGCTCAACTCTCAGATCCCAACCTGCAGGGTCAGCAGATCCTTTGCCAACAAGCGCCTTTTTTGACGAGGCCGCAGTTGGACATTGAACACACAAAGTTTCAGTCAGAGATGATTCTGATGCTGACATCGAAGCACCATCTGCTCAGTCCTGCGCCGCGGCATACCGCGGATCCCCAATGGTGGTAGGCACCTTGGGCCGAGACAACGCTAACTCCAGCACTGCATGCGTTCGCACCTTGCTTGCACATAAGTCCACTACCGCCGCCACCGCCAACACCACCACTACCACCACCACCACCTTCACCACCACCACAACCACCAGCACCACCACCGCCACCACCCCCACTACCACCGCCACCACCACCACCGCCACTCTTTAGGCGAGTGCTTGCCTTTACCGCCGTATCTTGATTGGGGGACGACCGGCAGAGAGCTTTTTGCATCCTGCTGGTGAGAAATGTGAAGCACATGATCGTCGAGTGCTATAGTGAATGACGACACTGACGACGGAGATGACAATGACGACACGGAGTGACGACACAGAGCATCATGCGAATCGTGATGATGATACGCTTTTGACTCCTTGAGCTCCCCCGTGATGTCAGAGTCCAGGCGGACTGCGCTGTACTGACGGAGGAGGCGGTGCAGCAGGGGGCAGTACAAGAAATACTGATGCAACGATGTTGCCACAAACATGTACCCACAGTACATGATGCCGAGTTTGGTTTCCTGGACTTCAGCAAATCCGATGCCGCAAGTCAATCCACAGTTCAGTGCTATAGCAGCCATTTCAAAACCATTCAAAGCCATTCAAAACCATCCAAACCCACCCAAATCTGTACAAAGCCACTAGACGCCCCTTCCCCCCCGGTCCTAAAGGTTGTTGTTAGATGTTGGTGGATATGGTATCCCCTTTCCACCATTCGGAGAAACAGTCTTCAGCCCGCTAGGCCCTGCCTCGTCCGATGCATGCGAAAGGGGTCATGCAGGTAGTGAGGTTTTGGGAGCGTTCCGGTGCTGCCACTCCACCACAGCTGGTTTCAGAAAGGCCCGTTGGATGCCCAGTTAATCTAGCATTGGAAGAGGTGGCGTTCTGAAAAGAAGAGGAAAGGGGTGAACTCGAGAGCAAGAGCAGGTGCTGTCGCGACTTGTCGGTGGAGTTGGGGACACCTCTGCGGATGCATTGTCGCCTGAGGAGTTTGACGACTCGATCATGGAAAGCCCCTTAACGTTTGGCACGTTCAAAATCATGGAAAGCCCCTTAACGTTTGGCACGTTCAAAATGGTGGCCGGCGCGGTTTGCCCGATGGTATGCAGGGCTTCTAGTCGACGGAATTGGAAGCCTGCATGGCTCTGCAGGTGGGCCTGCTGCAGTGGCATGCGTCGTGGAATATGCAGTGCAGCAGGATTGTAAGTTTATCGCCTGCTTTGCAGTTCTTCCTGCTATTGCTTGGTGGGAGGGTGTTGGCTTCACAGGTGTGAATTTGGCAAATGGCACGGCCGAGAAACAGTTGCGGCCTGGCTGCCTTGTCAAAAGTCTTGACCCTGAGCAACTTGCGCAAGACCTCCGGGCCCTATCTCAAAGCTACTCCTTCCGGCACCGGGTGATGTTGAGATGGGTGTGACTGTAACTTGACGGCTGAGATGCTGCCCTCGCACCAGATCTCAGAACCAAAAAGCAGCGCTGCTATGCACTCTGGAGTGCGAGCCTACACGTGCTTGACGGTTTTGGACCACGAGCTGAGAGGGCCAAAGCCAGGAACATGGAGTTATTTGTAAAGATACCAATCCATAGCATCATGGTGGCCTTGTACAGGCCCCGGGCTCATGACAAATATTTCATACTTTCAGATAGCCTCTCTTCGATCATTGCTTGTTTTTATATTGATGGGGTGCGTCAGATTCTCGTTACTTCTTTATTCGGATTATTGTTGACCCAACATTTCTTTTCAAATTCAATATACCGTCATTAATGAAATCCCAAAACTATATTTCATTAATATATTGAATTTCATCTATAATTTTACTTGCTTTGATATCTTGAAATTTGTACTATTTTATATTCTTCTCAAACATTTCGTTTACTTCATTATATTTTTTGTTTCCTAAAATAGAATTTCTCTTTATATTGATAATTCATATAAATAGTTTTTATAATATTCTTTCGTTATTGAATTTTATTTTTGTTATTTATATATGATATTTGAATTTTTAAAATTGAGAATGATTTATAACGTAATGAATATATCTGAAATATTTATAAAAATAGATTTATTTTTTTTGGTTTTTTTAATATATATTGTTATTTTATTTATTTTTATTTTGATTATTTAAATATGTAAAAAATAATATTTTAATAGATTTTATTTTTATATTTATACTATATTATACATTTATTTAATTTAAGTCTATTTTTATTATATAGGATATATATAAATACTTAGATTTTCTATATATTATGATGGATTTCGATATTATTAAATAGTGAATTAATTATTGTATAAAATTGGAATTTATAAATCTATATAATATTTCTTTATTACATCGTATTTGAAGATATTTGGATAAATTGAAAAATATATTGAATTTATATTTAAATAGATCTCTTGGGCTCGGATATTTATTATATTTGCTATTGGCCATAGATGACGTTGAGTTGATACGAATTCTTTTATAATTGATGGGATTTCGGACATTGGCCCATTTAGAATTTTAATCGGAATTTCCATCGAAAATAAATATATAGATAAGTCTGACACCCGGCAATATAAGATAATTGGGTTATTTAATTTAGATCGAGGAAGCTACTTGTACAATTATTAGATTAGAATGACTTTGGAATCTGAATTACTTATCTCGAGATTTTGATAAATATAATATATTATTAATAAGAAACCCTCGTGGCTTAGCTTAACATCGTTAACGATAATTTTATTTCTTCTCATTTTCGAGGACTCCAAGTATCTTAATATTATTATAGGCGTCGTTTCCGCCCGCTTCTTCGACTTTAGCCTCGCCGAGTTCCTCAACTTCAATTCCATTATCTCGTTTGATGCAGTCTTGGATAAAACGGTCAGCAAGCATAGCAAGGGCCGACATATTAAGAATTGACCTATCCGTGGCGAAACTGAATTCATCTGGGAAGAAAGAGATTCTCGATATCTAAATATAAATATTTTTAATAATACCTGATCATATCATCGTCTAGATCTATATTTGAAGAAGATACTTCTGAAAAGATCTATTTATTATCGATCTTTAGCAGATCTTTGTATGGAAGATATAGGCCTAAGCCAATATGATGCGAAGAGAAACGGAACGTGGCATTCTTTTTAGAAGGACAACTTCTTGAAAGAAATCGATATTACTATATAGGCGATCAAATAGATCCGATCGTTATATCTTTACAATCGGAATTCGAAAGACTTCAAATTTATTGAAAAATCGAATCTCGCCGCAGAACCCTGCACCCCAAATAAGCACGTTAATACTGAAGCCCACAGGGATCCGCGCTTTACGGTTCGGACTTGCAAAGCACAGGTCCAGATCATCAAAATCGATATATAAATCTCCAAATTAGCTTCATTATCTTAGCCGTAGTCAAAATCGGTTGGATAATCGGAGAAATACATCCGTAGAAACGACCCCACGCTCCATGAGTTCAACACTGGAAGCTTCTAGGGTGGCTAGCTTGATATGAATGATATTGCCTGCCAAGGCGGCT